TCACTGCCTCCTTTTCTTGTCTTGTAGGCTCACCCACCGGGACGACCGAGTCTTCAGGACGTTCGTCCACTGTGTCCATCGGGCGAAGGTCGAGCTCGTCGAAGATGTCCTGCTCTGCGACCTCTCCGGGGAAGCACTCGAGGTTATAGTCCATGATTGCCCCCTCCGCTCGGGGCGGCTTGCCCTTCGCCATGGCATACTTGACTGCGTCCTTGAAGTTTGTGATCTGGTACTTCTTGCGGTATAGCAGGTAGGACGCGGTGCCTTCTGAAGTGGCCTCCTTCAGGTTCTTCAAGCCTGATGACAGCGGCCCCAAGGCACTGATTACGAAGCCACGGCCCTTCCTCCACTGATGTCTCGCGATGCGACAAGCCAGCGACGACTGCTCCGACGCCACCTTGTTCATGTATATTACTTTGGGACCTTGGCTCTCGATGTCCTTCCACACCGCATTCTGGTTGACGCCCTTTAGGTCTATGGTCATGGCGTCAACCCCGGCACTAGCCCCCACGAGGTAGTCCAGGATCTGATCAGACTTCGCCTTGTCGATCTTGGTCTCGTCGCTCTGGTGCTCCAAGTACAGCTCGGGCTCTTTGACCACCACATAGACCTCCTCGTCTTCCAGGCTGCGCAGGCCCTTCACGTCCTGCCGGTCCATTCGCTGCAGGACACCATTCTTGGAGACCACCACAAAGTCGTCCAGGAAGGGAAGAGGCTTGGCCATCCAACGACGCACCATGTTAGGCGTAGCACTTTGCAACACTCGCGTTCCATCCCACGATCTGATGTTCTGGCCTACGTTCACAACCTGGTTCGCGGTAGTCGGGTCCATCTCGGACAGGTGAGCCTCCATTGCGGTCACGTTCTCCACCGCCCTCTCGAACTCCAGGTACTCGCCCTCGCGCAAGTCCAGCGTAGTCTGCAGCTCTTCGCTCCTGGCGCGCTCGTCCGCCAGCTGCTGCATCAGGTTTCCCATCTCCACCTGGTGCTTCTGGGCCATTCGCTTCTCTTGTTGTTTCAGAGCGTTCTCCGCCAGGTTGAGGGTCTTCTCCTTCGACTGGTTCACGGTCTCCACTGGTCGGCCGGTCAAAGCTCCGGCTGTTCTCGGGCTGAGTTTCCATCGAGCCTTGCACAGGTTGCAGTGGAACCAGTTCATGTGTCCATTGCCTCCTCCTTTGAGCTGCTGAGCTGGGTGAGCACAGCGGCCAATCTCTTGAGTCGGCACGCCTTTCACCGAAGCCAGCTGTTCGGGCCTCTCGCCTTCCAGGTAGTTCTTGTAGATCTGGCCCCTGCTGGTAGCCGAACTCGTAGTCAAGGTCGCTGGCGAAGTGGTATCCGTAGGGCTGGGCTGCTGCTGCGACTCTGGCCCGGGAAGAGAGAGCCACGGTGACACCACGGTTTGCCAGTATCCCCAGGCCAGCAGCGAGCAGAGTTTGTCCAACAAAACCCGCCAGTTTCGGACGGCGAGCCTTGGCCGGCTGACGGGATTCCGCACTAGCTGCCATGGATTCCGCTGCCGCCCCTGCTGCTGCTGCTGCAGGGCACGAGAAGCTAGCATAGGCCTCGGACTTAAGAGTCTTGGGCGATCTTGTAGTCTTTGGTCTCGAGCCAAAAACCTGCCCAGTGCGAAAGTCGGACTCCATACGACGCCCTGCACACGCGGAAGGCATCACCCAACCTTCAGGACCAAAGTCAAGCACATCCACAGCTGCGTGCCCTGAGGGAAGAGTCGTCATGTTGCACTCTCCGTTCACTTTGCTGAAGGTGATCTTGTCTTTGCTTAGGTCAATGACTGAACCCAAGGCCCTCAAGAGACTAACCGGCAACAGCAATGGCACGTCTTCGGCTACGACTGTCAGCTCAAGTACTCCTGGAACTCCACCGAGGCCGATGGGAACTTCGCACACGCCGACTGTTTTTGCTGCGCCTCCAATGCCGCGTGCCTGGGTGGCCTTGTCCGTCCAGCAGCCTTTTAGGCCTAGGGGCCTCAAAAGGTCCAGCAAACGAAGAAGGGCCGGACGACCCACCAGGCCTTCCTGAGCCGCAGTGTCCACCAGGCCGTGGCATCCCTGCGTAGTCACTCCCACGAAGAGCTCGCCCGCCATCGACTCGCCCGGCCTGTCATTGAGGAACTGGCCGAAGGACAAGAAGGTGTTCGCTCCACCAGACCCGGCATCCATTCGGCCGGCCCAGTAGAAGGACCCTCGGCTTGCTCCCGGGCCCGACGATGACGAAGAGGTAGTCAGCGATGGCCCCGCTCGGTGCCTACACTCCTTGCTCCAATGCCCGACTTCTCCGCAAGCCCGGCATCGAGTCCTAAGCTTGAGCTGCTCTATGTGCACTCTTCGTGACGTAGGCGACCCCTTCCATGCCGAGCCGCCTTTGCCGAAGGACTTGCTGCTCTGCTTGCCGGTGTTCTTGCCGTCCTTGTTGAAGAGCTTCTTGCCCCCTTTCTTGCCAAGGTTCGGCTGGTAGTACTGCCGGCCCTTTTGCTGTTCTTTGAGCTGCTGCCGAACATGTTGGTACGACGCCAGAGCTTCCATGACATCGCCTTCCTCGTACACCGCGTCCAGCTCGCCGTCTTCTAGGTACACGTAGTTCTCGTCTTCTTCGTCTTCCGCCTCCAGGTAGAACTCGGGCTCGCCATAGTGCTCGTGGTTCTCGTAGTACACCTCCTGGCCTTCGCCCTCTTCAGTCTCCGTCCAGAGCATCGCCTTGGACCCGGAGCTGCTCGAGTTGATGCGGTCAAGTCGCCTTAGGTTGGCGATCACCACATCCTTGGTGTAGTCGCCAGCCAACCACGTGACCACACGGGACTCCAGCTCTTTGTCCAAGTTCGCCTGCCGAAACAGCAAGTATCCGGCAGCCTTCGCCGGAAGGTCCACGCCCTCGGCTTTGAGCTCCGCCAAGGCATGCGACGCGCGCACCAGGTAATCCGGGATGGACTCCTTGGCACCTCTAGCCTGGCCATAGAACACGCCCTCCATGGCCCTCGGCAACGCTGTCTCCACATACGGCTTAAAGTTGTCGTTGAGCACTTTCATCACCGTCTTGTAGCCGTCCGCATGCTGGAGCTCGGCCAGCGTCAAAGACGACACCGCCTCCCTTGCTGGCCCTGTGAGAGCTTGAACCAGCTTGATCGCCCTCTTCTCCTTGGGAATATCCGTCGTGGCCTCCCACAGCTCAAGATCTCGAAGCCAGGTCTTGAAAGAGACCTCTGGAGTGGAACCGTTCCAAGAAGGTGGGGGATCTCTATCTCGGTAGACATATCCTCCAGGATCGCCTGAGGACTGTCCTTCCGAAGTAGATGGCATCTTCACTCACTCGCTCTTGTAGATGTCGACGTGGCTGGGCTCGATCAGATACGTCACCACCTTCCCGCGGCTGATCGGTTAGAAGGCGAGGAGGGAAACAGCAGGCCCCTGGGACCGCCGGCTGCGACGCCACACACGCCGCCAAGAGCCACGCAGGCTCCGCTGCCAACTGACAGCGCCCACTTCGAATCTATGGCTCGGACTCAATTTTACGCACACTGCAAAGTCAGTAGCTTAAGGATCAAGAGGGCCCTCTGTGGGCCGAAAAGAAAGACCGCGGGTGATATGGCCAGGGAGGAAGCCTCCACTGATTTCAGGACCGCGGGTGATATGGCCAGGGAGGAAGCCTCCACTGATTTCACACTTCGTTTTTGTTGTTCATACAAGCTAGAAGCCAAGTTGTCAGCCAAATGGCTGAGAGTCACAGCGAGTAGAGGATGATGCGCGGACTACAGCGACTGTACTCGCTTGCAACCACAGCAAATGCACCAGGTTGATCAGACCTGGCTTTGCATAGCATAGCACAACTTCGTTGACATGCGTTTGCGTGATGGCTGCATGCCCCCATCCCTCGCCTCATTGTGTCACACAACCACTCCCCGTGTGCAGGCGTGCACATACACACACACACACACACACACACACACACACACACCGCTTCAATCGATCTGTGTTGTCCACCTTACCAAGTCGCCCAACATCGAAAGCCTGATCGGGCGCATGCAAGTTCAAGTGTAGTCCCTTTAGCCGCTAGCTGCTGGACTTGTTTTTTTGTCTCTGCCTCTGGGAGGTGCTCCTTGACCTTTCCTGCAAGGTGCCCATGGTGTGCCTCAGCTCATTTCGCAGCCCGCATCTCCCCGCTTCCCTGCCCTGTGCTTCCACTTCTCCTGTGCCTTCAATGCGCTTTTCACCTCAAAGAGAGCAACGGCAAAGACAAATTAACTCTCTCTACTCTCCCTACTCTCCCCGCTCTCGCTGCCCTCTCTATTCTCTCTACTCTCTCTACTCTCCCCCACTCCTTGCCAGCTTTGCCTCTTTTCATGGCATGGAGATGGCCCTTTTAGAACTTTCGTCTGCTGAAAAATGCGCATTGCTGATGCCTAGACTGCGTTCGTCACGAATCTGTTTATGTTCAAGTGGCTTCAATTTCCAGAAGCTCTTGAGCACGCGGCAGTCCATCCACTGCTACTTGCTTGCATCCCGAAACGAGTTCTGAGTAAACATGCGTCAACACATGCTAAAGCAAGAGCAAGAAGCAGTTTCTGCTGCTCCTGCAAACAGCAGATGAGCCCGATGTATCACGGATCCGACATATCTTCAACATCCCGCAGAATCTGACACAAACGCAATGTTCCCGAAGTTAGGTTTGCAGTGGCACTGTCCAGCAACCTACAGAATATGCACTAGGTGCGGCAGCTCCATAAACTTGCATGCGAAGCAACACACGATGGGCATGGAACAGAAAACGAGAACTGATGGAAGCTTCCTATCACATAACTCATATGACCCAGTTCGTTTGGGAAGGCAGGTCTGGGCAACAAGCGCTTGCGTGGCACGCCTAAGGCCTAAGGCAGCGCATATCAACTTGAGAGATTGCAGAAGATGTGCAACCCGGTGCCATCCGAACTGGCTGGCTGCATGAACAACTTTTCTTTGTCACTGGCATCTGTCTGTACGCAGACAGTGTCATCCAGGATTGGTCTCTCTCCTTGGTTACGTTTGGGAGGGCAGATATTGGCATGACACGTCGTCACGTCGCTAGCCTTGCAAACACCCATTTGCGGCCTTCCTCGTATTTAGGGGCTCTTGCACAAAACGGCGCAGGATGTCTGTGGGCCACACGCCACCAGCAAGCTCACAACGTAGGAGAGTGCAACCTCTGACATGGCACCAGAACTGCAATGGGAGGGCACAGTGAGGCACATTGAGGCACAGTGAGGCACAGCAACACAAAGTTTGTGTACCCTTGAGACATGGGCGGCAGCAACGATGATAAGCGTGCCCGGCAGGAAGCCGAGGTGTATGTGTAGACCTACATGATACATGTGGCACAGCCAGGGCACAGCCTCACATGGCCGAAAACAACAGTGCCATCTGGGAGGAAGGCACTCGATGCCCACGTCACGGAATCCGCGACACGTGGGTGCCAAGTTTTGTTTGTAAACGATCAGCCTCCAGAGCTGCAAAATGAACTGCAAATTCACTCTCGAGTTGCAGCAATGCTCTCATCTTAGGCATCGGCTCAATGAACTGGCCAATGCCATACCTTGGGACTGGCACTTGCATGTACCTTCTTTTCTTTCTGTCAGGTGTGGTGTACAGGTGTGTGTGCATGTGTGTGTGCCAATTGCTGCATGCATGAACTTAGAAAGCGGCCGATCGCCGCCGAGAACTGCAGCAAGAAAGGCAATGAGAAAGACGTCGTAGGCAGCCCATGCTCGCAAAGTGTAGCCTAGCTTGTGCTTTGCAAGCTCCAAGGCTCTGCTGAAGCTACATTTTAAAAGCAGATAATTCAACCAGATGTGGCCCCGGCATAGGCGAAGGAACTGCTGCTGACGCTTTGGACGCAGCTGATACAGGCCTGTGATGTGAGCCCAGGGCGCACGGGAGTGGCGGCGAGCAGCTCAGATCACTGAGGCTCTTGCAAATAAATATCATGGCCAGCAGCTGGAGCACTGGAATCGCCAGAACGAAAACTGCAAAGGTAACCTGCAAGCCGCACTGCAAGCCACTGCAAGTCCAATCAAGTTTGCAGTACTCAGTATTCCGTCTAATGATTCCTGTTTCATGCCTGCAGGTACATCGAGCCCTGCTCTCCCAGACAGGATAAGATGCCAATAATGCCTGGGAGTTCCGTTGCACAATGTTGCGCAGCGCATGGGCCATGCATTCCTTGGCTCTGCAACTCAGCTGCTGTATCCTCTGGACGTAGGCTGCTGCGTCACCTGCACTTCGGAGTAATGCTGTACTGCACTGCCTATGAACGTGGGCATAAACAGAGGCCATGGTGTGCCTCCAGAAATGTGCCGACAAGGCCACTGAACGTAACTTCAACCTTTGAAGTCAACACGGCTTTCCAGCTTCCCACAGCATGCCTTAGAAGCTAGAAGCCGAGGAAGGTGCAATCTCCACCTGCCAAGAGAGCACCTGGAGACGGATGTGCTGCTATTCAAGTCGTACAGCGGTTGCCCAGAAGCTTAGCACCGAACCGTAAGCAGCAAGCATATCACGTGGCCCACACCTGTGTATCACAGGATCTTGCCGAGCCGAGGGGAACAGATTGGACTGGAGTACAATGAGTACAATGAGTACAAGCTTGGGCGATTGATTCTTGGCAATGCAAGGGGCAGCGGGCATGGTATATCACACTCTCAATGCTCTGACATTGACTTCCATCACGAGCGTGCCTACAATGCGTAAGCGCCTCGAAGAAGACGGGCCTGGCATCGCGGTAACCAGTTCACGATGTAGAACATTTGGTCAATCAATGACAGTTGGCAGAACTGGCACCTCAAGAAGATTAGCAAGACGAAAAGGAACCCGTGCCAGACTCACCGGACCGAGCCAAAGGTTCTTCACCTCGGTGGCGTTTACTCTGGCGAGCTGCTAGCTTGGATTTGGGGAATGTTTCTCCAATGCCAAGTACATTGCTTTGAGGTTGAGTTCCACCATGGCGTGCATGTGTGACTGGGCTGCGTGGTGATGATGCGGTGTCGGAAAAATCCGTGCTAGAGCATGCCTGCAGTTGTAACGGAGGATACATAACTTACAGAAACAAACCAGTGTTTCTGCGTGTGTGCAAGCGTGCCAAGGGCCCACGAATTTCAAGAAAGTTCCAACCGTTTTGCCAACCTGCCTCCGGCCACCTTGTCGGCGTTCTGCCAACGGTGTATCCACAGCATGGCATGTCCCAGTAGAAGCGACCTCAGAAACAAAGGGGGAGCATTCTCAGAGAAACAGCCACGAGAGGGAAGCACGCGACAGAGAGAGCGGCTCACATGCGGCGGCATCTCTAGATTCTAGAGGTGTAGTTTTAACGTGTTTTAACATATCTTCATTTTAACTCTCTTTATGTTGTTGCTTTTTGGTTTCATCTCTGGGCCTCCCACAGGATGGTTGCCGCCAGAAAAGTGTTCACCTCGTCTTGAGGGCCTTCAGCGACATCAAACACCGATGCAGAATGGCGCTGTACAGGAGACATCTAAGAACCTAAGAAGCTTTTGACCGATGCTTTCATTGGCAACACGTTCGTGTCTTCCCCGGAAAAAACTTCGCACTGTCGGACCTCCGAAAGCACGGCGGCTTCAGGGGACCGAGAGATGCGATTTTCCCTGCACCTCACGACACCTTGTGACACCTCACCCATACCGCAAACCTCACCGTGACCCAGCTCAGGCCCCAACTGCACTTCAAGCCAAAACTGGCTCGCCCACCGCCCACTAAGTCCTAGCTTGCTCGGGACATGAACCGGTTGCACCATCACATGACATCATATGCCTCAAAGCAGGACTGCCAATCGGGTTGGCTGCTGCAACAACATGCAACAACATTCCCAGCGATGACCAACTCCTCGCCCGTCCAAGCAATCCAGAAGAAAACGATCTCAGGAAAAGTGGATCCCTACACCTATCAAGGCCTATCATGTCACATGCTTGGTAAACGCGTGGTCCAACACTCAGTGACAATAGGGCCCATGCAAACAGGAACATGATGATGTTGTCCATGAGGGACCATTTCCCTATCTGGTCCTAGATGCGCACCAGAGAGTCAGGTCATGAAATGCCATGAAACGCAAGAAAGCAAGCCAAGGCACCAAGAACACAAGCACGGGACCACGGGTGCTGTGATCCATGGGCCTCACCCAAACATACCTGCGATCACACTCCCGCACACTCCGCGGGACGCTCCCATCCATCGTTCTGCAATTTTCCTCCAAGGCAGTGCTGCAGCATCAAGGCCAAGGGCACAGCATCATGAAGAGCTTGATGTATGGCCAAATGACACTGAAGATCAACATGGCGCAGAAGACGAAATAGGACCTGAGGAACCAACAAGAGTCAACACGCAGAAGCATCTGGTTGCTTCAGACTGGATGCTCAGCCAAGTCGCCCTACGGTCCAGGTCTGGACCTCGAACACTGGAAAACATTCTGGCGCAGGAGCAAAAGGAAAAGCGCGGGGGAATGAAAAGTGTGTGCTAAAGTGCTAAAAGTGCTAAGTTTGCAACCAAGCTGTTGTCCATGGAAAGGGAGGCCATGTGCCTCGTGTCGGATGAGCCATCCGAGGCCTTGAAGCTGCCTCTGCCAAGAGCGAAGAGGGAGAGGGGAGAGAGCTGAGCTCCTCCCTCGAAAAAAAGTAACAAATAGTAACAATCTCTGCCCCCCCCCCAACTTCTGGCAATGGCCTGAGAGCAGTATGCCAGGTGTCACAGAGGCATACACGAAGAGGAGGATGGTGCCAACAATGCCTGGCTCTCAAAAATTAAATACACTCAAGCCGTCACCACTCTCGAGCAATGTGGGCAGGCGCTGCAAGAAAGCATGTGCTCAGCCAACCCAATCACCCGAACAAAATCGCTCCTGAGAGAAGGCCCCATCGCGCGGCCAGCGGCACCTCGAGTGCGAGATGCGGGGACCTGTGGGAAAAACGCGGGAAACCCCGAAAAGCCGAAAACAGGCGCGCCACGCACACGACCGCGCGCCCCAAAAAGATAAAAAGGGCGCGAAAAGAGATTTAAAAGGGGTGTAGTGTGTTTGAGTGTGTTTGACTCAATTTGCCGAGCGGCGCCCGGCTGCCATCCCAAGCCTCCCAGAGGATGCTCTCACCAAACAGAATAAATAGAATGGCTCTCAAGAGAGGCAACGGCCTCGGCGGGGACCGGCATCCATCGAGCGGGACACCTCTCAGAATCTGACACAAGTGTCGGAAACTGACGAGTACACTGTTGAGTCGAGGTTCTCTTCTTAAAATCGCTCTCGTGCGCCTCTGCGAAATCTGGTGAAGCTGCCAGCGCTGCTTCGTTCAGCCAGTTTAGCCTGTCTTCAAGCTTTCTGGAACCAGTCTGAAGAATTGCCTCAGCAAGTTGTAGGAATTTGCTGTGCCTGCTGCTGGATGTGGACCGCTCAGGAGCACAATTCCTTGCGGTTGCGGGAACGCGATCGAGTCTGAAAGAAACGAACAGCGAGTGAGGCAGGTCTACCACCGCGTGAGTGACCCATGTCTGAGACGAAGTCGACATGTAGCACGTGCAGAGGGGATACAGGTAAACCTAAGTGCTGCTGCCCAGGGATGAACAAGCATCCATGCAACGTCGCAACCAACACCCAAGCATGTGGCCAGGAAAAGGATTGCCATAAGCGAGAGAAAGAAGCCAGATCCCCAGCTAGATGGCATGGCGATGGCACCTTGTCGGACATGCCAGAAGATGAAGTCGAAGTTCTTCTGACATGTTTCATTCGGCACCTATTTCTCCAGACGAATAATTTGACGCAGGGCACGCCAGCCTTAGAACTTGATGGCTGAGACAACAATAACCAACTTCAAACCAACCTGCACAAACCGCGCCGCATTCGTAGATTATTCGATGCACCAAAGCCAGTCTCAAGGGACTGGCTGCTGAGACTTGAGTATCATCTGCTCCAGCATTTCGTTCATCAGCGCTCGTCCTGCTGCGGAAAACTTGAAGGTTCTTCAGTGTCGCCTTCCGAGGGTGGGCTCATCATCCAGAACAGGAAGCGGGTTCAATGCAGAGGCCAGATGCAGCTGCAAGAAACAACTCGGCAACAGCTTGCGCGCGTGGGACTCCCGAACTACCAAAAGCGGTTTGTTGTTTACCCTTTGCATCCCTTGCAGGGACTTCGATCGCCACAGCATCTTGCGCCGATGCATTTGTCCGGAGTTGTACGGTTTACACTGTGTTTGCATGTTGGCACGCGAGCACCGCAGGTATGTGCTAGCTTTAGCATCACTTGACGTGACAGGTCATGCTTCCGGTCCCGTGCACATTCCGTGCTCAAAACCTCCTGCCTAATCGAGACACTACCAACTTAGCCCTGCTCAACATGCTCGCTTGTCTCATTTCAAGAAGCAGCATTCTTCCGGATGTCCTACCAGGCGACATTCCAGAAAAAACTATCAACTCAACCAGGCCAAGTGGATCCAAGTGGGAAAGCCTGGACTGATAGGGCCCTGGATGGACAACAAGCTCCTCACAGTGGAGGCCCCAACCCTTCTCAGCTTTCTTGGGAAGAACGGAAGAACATGGAAGAACCATGCCAATGTAATACAGGCAATAAATACAATAACACAATGTAATGGACGAACCAGGCATCGCCGACGGGAGGGACATCGCACAATCCGCTCCCATGGCAGCTGAAAAATGTACTACAAGCGTGATAAGGAATTTGACGGACATTGACCTATTTGCTTGCCTTTGGCCCTTTATTTGATCAGCAGTCGCTGCTGTCTATGTTGCTGGTCGAAGTACAAGCTTCTCACTTGTGTAGTGTGTATATATATATATATATACTGACCGAAGTCGGTTGTTCGAGGTCGCTATCTCTCTCTCTGGGCTCTTGGATGGGGACGCTTAGTCGTTCATTCTCTGGATGTCGTGGACGTCCTCCCATGACGCTCCCTGGGTCCCATGCGCGCAATCGTCACTCTGTTGCTCCGCAAATCTCCACGTCGGGGTCTTACATTGTCTGGGATGTACGGCAGCAAATTATGGCCTTGCCGTCTTTTGACACATGTCCGTTCCACTGCATGATGTGGTGGGCAAGCAAGCCACAAAACTCTGTCAAAGTGTTGTAAAGATAGCAATGCCTTCTGGTGTCGGGCGACCCCAAACCTTGAAAACTCAACATAAGAATCACCTGGCAGTTGGCAGGTGGCAACCGCCCGCCCAAATTGCTCAACAGCCTGATTCTTGCTTGCAAAGAAAATGATGTGCGTTAATTCAGGTATAGAATTGCAACCACACCCACTTGCGGGGGAAGAGGTGGGAAAGTGCTTGGCCGCAAACGGGCTTGCACGTGGCTGTACACAGAACCGAACCGATGTCCCGTTGAGTCGCATACCGCATTGGTGCGTGCTGCCAGTCTGGGAAAGATGCACACAAGACAACTCTAGACAACAACTGCTGGCCTCTTCGAGAAATGTAGCCGTCCACCGCTTGCACCGCAGTGTCGCCAAAGGTGTGGCCCAGCAGCTGGAGAACAGTCAAGAACACCTGCATCAACATGACGCAACATGTCTTTTCGCAAAAGTTTGTTTTTTATTCAACTCAACTGTGGAGTGAAAATGGACTCCTACGACTTCAAAAATTAACAAGCTGGTCAGCTCGCATCCATGCAAGCAAGCTCGTCAGTGGCAGCTGCGATGAGCGAAAATATGACAAACTAGTGCATGAATGGATTAGAGGTGTGTTCGCTTCATTTTGGGGTTTTGAAGGGGGCATCAGTAGTTACATCCTCGTCCCCCTAATATGAACAAACTATGAAGTGAATAAATGAGTGAACGAATAAACGAAACGAATGTGAGAACGAAATGCGCGAAGTATGTCCGTATTTCTCGTTTTTCATTCGCAAAATGTTCATGTTTATAATCTTCCTCTGGCTCTTATTATTAATGCCTAATCATTATTCCAATATTCGCCCGGGTCCTTTTACAATTATCAATTGTGTCCCTTTTGCACCAATTCTCGGTTAACTCTTGAATTCATGGTTCACCAGGGATAACCGTGCGTTCACTTCTTCACGTACTCCCTCACAATAATATAAACGTGTTCGCCTCACGGTATGATTATTCGTGTGTTAAAGGGGCACATTAAAAGAGTAAATTAGTGCCCAATAAACTTATAATATCCTCGTACTTCGTTCGCATAATCATACAGTTCACGCGCTACATTCATTATATTCATTTCGCTTGTAACTCTATTATCTTGTTCCCTTCGTTCACCTTTTCTATATTATAATTGTATGTTATCTTCCTATTACAATCATTCATGCTAAAACACCCTGCGAAATAGCTCTTGTTCTTGGTTGGCCGTGTAAACTCAGTGAATGCAAGGTTATAATAGTAAGGTTGTAGACGCGGGGAACTGTGCGATGGAAACTAGCTCAAGGCCCCTGAACCTCACGCACGTGTAATATTATTATAAGCGCACACAATACGTCCTGTATTGCATACTAAATTGTATTATTATTAAGAAACCGAAGTAAAAACACAAGCAAAGCGCGTGATTTTACGAAGAGGACGCGTGAACGAACATATTTTAATACGGGCCCCATTTCAAGTGTATTAAAGGCCCGTGTAAAAGATTTAAAACATGTACGTGCAAAACCAATTTCATACGGTTTTTGCTCACCATATTAACACTGTACTCTTCATTCTAATAATATTTCTGTTGGGATATGAAGGCAACACATGAACAGTACTCTCTTGACAGGCGCTTAGAATCATAACTCACTCTTACCCCCATTTCCAGGGCATTTCGTGAGCATATTTAGTTTATTTGAGAAGAGAACGAAGTGAGGGCAACAAAACCCCTTTGAAATATGTTCACTCTGTGGGGTTTGTTCGCTCCATTCATTTTTTGTATTCTTAGTACTGCGGGCAATTAAAGAACTATACTATATTGCATCATTTCTTTACAACACTTCTTTTGTTTTTTCTTACGGGCCTGTATTGTATTCTTTGAGCCCGTGCATTCTTCATTACAAGAAGAAGAAGACAAAATCAACATAATGTTTACAGCCCCTTAATGAATGCAATATAGTACTTTGGGCTGTATTGATATTAGAACCACGAATCATGCGTTGAAAGCCCCAACTTCTGGGTCTCAAGATAAGAAATGAACAGTAATAATGCTATAGTAATTAAAAGGCGTGAATGTAGTGAAAAAGAAACCAAAAGATAGGAAAGTTATTCCCGGCCCAATAGACGACAGGGAATTCCAGGAATCAAAAGAATCTGGAGGGGATGGGATTCTTCTTGGCATAACATCAAATCCTAAGACATGCATTGGGAAAAGGTAAGAAGAATACCAATAAATATGCAATGTAGATGAAAAAGAGAAGGTGCACTAGAGATAGCTCCTAAAGAAAAAACAACATGAAAATGTGCTACAACATCATATGTATCATGTAACCCTAGATCTACTGCAGCATTTCCAAGAATTATTCTGTTGAACCACCTATGGCACCTATAGTAAACATTCTTAAGAGGAGATGCGAAAGAAGACAGAACTAATTCTAAGGTGTAATAATAATGGTGGATTTCCAGAATATGTAAAAAGCCAATTAAAGATTTTTGTACCAGTGGGTAAGGGTATTAAAATTGTAACTCCGGTAAAATTAAGCTCTTGCAACACTTCCTAAACCTGCAGTATACATATGAGACTATGATGCCCCCAAACAAGATTTCCAAGAAGAGAAATAGACGACATGGCAAAGATCATTGGTTGGTTTCCAAAGTTTATGAATTGTAAAATCCCAAAATTACGGAAATGATCCCGAATGCAGAATTATTAACATGCAAACTTCTGGATGTCCAAAAAATCAAAATAAATGTTGATAGAATATAGGATCGCCCCCAAATATAGGATCAAAGAGAAGTGTGTTAGAATGAAGACCATGGCCTCCCGAAGCACTCTTAAAAATTCTTCGGGACAGATGGCTTCTACACAGTTTTCAGTAGCTGTTGGCGAAGCCATGACCCCCCCGAAGGGCTTTGAAAAGTCCTTCGGGCAAGACGGCTTCTATGCAGTTATCAAAAGCAGTTGGCAAAGCCATGACTCTTTGAAATGTCCTTCGAACAAGACGGCTTCTGCGCAGTTTGCACTAGCAGGTGGCGAAGCCATGGCCTCCCAAAGCACTTTGAAAAGTCCTTCGGTCAAGACGGCTTCTATGAAGTCTTGACCCCAAAGGACTTTGAAAAGCTTCGGACAAGACGGAAAATCCTTTGGACAAGATGCCCTCTGAAAAGGCCTTCGGACGAGATGGCTTCAGCCTTAAAACCTCAAAACCAAGAACTTTTTATAACTTTTTCAACCCACGAGGGGCCTAGCCTCAAGACCAAGAACTTTTTAGATCCCGAGGGGCCGATCATTCGGAGGGTCTCTGGGCCCGAACCTTGGTGGCTTATCATTCGGAGGGGCTCTGGCTCCGCCACGGCTTTTGCCGGGTTCTCAAGCCACCAAACTTTGACCACTACTGTTGTTGCGAGGTTTTCAAGCCACCGGACTTTGATCACCCAAACGCGCCAGCCCGCTTAGGAGACCAAAACCTCGAGCGCTGCGAGGTTTTTTGGGGCATTGACCCCAAACGCGCAGCGGAACAGCCAGCCCCCCCCCCCCCCCGCCCCCCCGAGATTAAAACGTCGAGCACCTCTTTGACATTTGTGTCATGTGCATGTGCGTTGCATGTGCGTTGCATGTGTGTTACTGTCGTGTGCGTATTTGTGTAACATCGTACGGCACGCGTGCAGAGGTCGTGCGGCGGTGCCAGTGCGTCGTGCGGCGGTGCATGTGTGGTGGGCACGGGTCGGCGGGCGGGTGGGTGCCAGGAAAGACATGAACTCCACAGTGATGTGGGAAGTGAAAACGACAAGAGCAGAACAGTGGAAAGCGCGAGTCCTTCGTCGCTCATTAGCAAGCTTATGCAAGCGATCCATATCGTGCGTTGTTTACCCCCTATGCTGCATCCTCCCATCACGTCCCCTTCCCTGAGCCGGTCTCGCTCTCCTCTGCGCTCTGATCTTCGTGCTGCAGTATTCGGGCATGCATGAAGTCCGGAAATTCTAGCAACAGCACAGACAGACATGAACCTAGCCCCAGAATGAATTAACGCATGACCCAGACCCGACGAAACACACACGACGCGAGGTATGAGCAGAACTGCTGCGAGAGAAGACGATGTGTCGGTGCAGACCTCCCAAGTCCACTTCTGACTCCCGTTCCCAAGGTGCATTCCAAAGTCACACACACACACACACAAATTTCGGTTCCACCGTGGCCGGCGGTGGTGTCATGTGCTGCTCATAGACACCTTGAGGATGCGATTCTCAAGGTCGCTCGGATCATACTCCAACAGCTGCACCTGCACACATGATGATGCACGCATCATGGTAGAGGCTGTCACACAAACAAACTGATTCGGGTATATGTACATACATATATATATATATATATGAGTGGTGCTACCCCAGCATTCGCAGCTCTCCAGCAGGCAGAGTTTAAGGCCAACACATCCAGGCTCTGCAAACGTGGAGTGCACCGAGCCTGCAGGCATCGTTGTGCCAACCCATTATGCCATTGACTCTCGCAGACGAAGATGCATTTCACCGCCTCAAGCACTTCGATCGGTGAGCCGATGCGACGGTCCTGGCAGCACGAGGTGCCGATGGAAACTGAACTGTAGCCTTGCAATGCTGAGATGCGGGCCAAAAAAATGGAAGCACAGCCTCATCATCCCAAGAAAGCAAACACCAACACGATCCAGCGAGGTCCCGAGGAGAGCATCTGTTCAGTTATTGCTTCCTCCCTGGCGTAGCTGCAGTGTGACCCGGCGTATAAAGGGTCTACCATTCAAGTTGGTAGTCTGCCACTCTTCTCACAGTTCGCGGTTCCGAAAGGACTTGTGTCAAAACGGGCAAAACTTCGACATCGCACAAAGAGACAAACTCAGCAGTCAAGGAGTTGAAACATGCGGGAAACATCCTTCACCATGAGGTTCAGCTGTTGAGCCATTGTACTGCAATGGCGTTATCAAGTTGATATATTGCAGGATCAGCGTTGGTGCTTTCAGACTTTTGTTCAAGCGGATAGGCGTTGAGAATGTCCCAGAGTCTGGCGGGGCCAATGAACCTGCAAATTCGTTACGGACAGTTTGTTGACAATCTGCCTGAAGAACAAGACCCCATTTCCTCAAAGTCCCTAGTTGACAGGTGTGAAAGGAAGTCAAGCAATCGCGCAGATCGATACTGGCAACATCAAGCTGAACCTGAGACTTGAGGCTATATTACGCGGTGATAAGTTTGATAAGCTTCCTTCTGCAAAGGCTCCTAGTGTCGTGACACCTCCCGGCTGAAGCACAGAACGACATGCCACTCGTGGGTGTTGGGGTGTGATGGGTATGGATTTATTTAGGTTTACTCGATTTCCCAGTCCCTTCAGAAAGTGCTACCGAGTGCTGGCACGTTATAAATTCTCAAACCGTTTTGGGGTCGAGGCCTACGCCTAGGCCTTCCTGGCCTTCCTGAACATACACTGAAAAGGCTTGCGCTCACCTTCAGTTTTTCAGCATTGTCCTCGCTACTCAAGTTGGCGCTTTGGGCTGGGGGCTGCCACTAGGCACTTCTCGGATCTGTGTCAGAATCCAGGGTTGACACCGGATGTGTGCTTCAAGGTAGGGCCAGAGATTGCCGCACCTTTTTGGGTTGAGGTACAGGGAGGCGAAGATGCGATTGATTCACAGACAGACCGACAGTACGCCCGTTTACAATTTTCAAAAAGGTGTCATGTATGCCGAGGCGGGTCTTACAATGTGCGGAAAAGTCTCATTTCCCAGCCAACCGGCCAAAAGCCACCATTAGCATCCGCCAGCTGCGCTACCGTCTTGAACGTGACGATCAGAAGTAAAGGGGTAAGGGGCATAAATGCGCATTTACGTCAGAAGCCCAAGAAAAGAGGACCCTCTCAAAGTGATCATGTTCCTCACTGTCGATGGCCTTTCTGGCACTTTCTGGCTATCGACTGAATTTTCCAAGGGTGCGGCCCCCGGACTGCATCTGATCCAGCCTCGCAAACGTGTAGTTACACTGGGTGCCAATACACTTCATTGCAGATTCGGCAGGTCGATCCAGCTGCGTCATCGGGCCGGACTTTCTGCCTCTTTTCACGCAGCGCAGTCACCTGATCACTCTACGACACTGGTGATTACGGCATCATAAGGATGCCGCTTGGTGATAACTCCTGCGTAAAGAAATGCCTCCACAAGCTTATCATATGTCTCGGGTGCTATGCCGGTTGGCCCTCCCCAGCAGCCCATCTGCTGATAGCGTGAGATTGTTGACACCAGCACGCTCCGCTCGATGTCGAAGAAGGGCTGAACCACCTGGCACATGCGTGAGCTCCGTGGAGCCAGATGGGAAACCGGAGCGTGTGGCCGACCGGCACTGGTATAGTCTGTTGCATTGCCCCTTTCCCCCAACCGATTTTTCATGCCAGCTTGTGATGTTGGCAAACTCAGGGGACACCTGAGTAGAGAAGTTTCACATCATCGTCAAACGGAGGCGAAGCAAACGGGAGACAATGACCTCCTTCTTACCCGCTCTGTCCACAAAGTTTTGTTGTCAGGCAGAGGGGGGGGGTTCTGGTGGGCATCGGCTTTGTTTGAGCTTTTCGGAGCACTCACGATCCAAGAACGGAGCTTTGGCAGAGCAAGCTCAGCAACAACAGCAGCACCAGTGTCGTCTGTAGCAGAAGTCAAACAGGCGGCGTGCCTTTGCCACATCTTCTGCTGAAGCCTCGGCAGTTGCCTTAAATCCGTCACCTGCCAAGGATGGAATGCAGGATTGCAGCATGTTCTCAAGTCTCACAGAGCCCTGTCAATTGAAAATTATTTCACTTCGAATATCCCCACCCTCTGGGTAGAGATTCTCTGGGGTTGGGCACTCCAGGGGCACTCTGGGGTTGGGCACTCCAGGAACACTCTGGGGTTGGGCACTCCAGGGACACTCTGGCGTTGGGACCGGGCGAGGAGAAGAAATCTAACAACCCCACACCGAGGGTGGGGAGAATAATTGACAGCTGCGTATCAAGAACTTGCCAAGAGGCGGTAGGCCCTCATGAAGGCTCTGGCCATGTCCGAGTTCACCCAGTCGCGACGAGCGCAAAGTGAGCTGAAAGCTATGGGCCCGATTGCTTCACCCAATGAAGCCACCACGACCCCTTCAGGCATGCCCACATATGCCGCATATTCGCATATCATATGCCCACATAGCTGCCACTGAATGCCGCAACGTTTGAGACCTTGCGTTGCACATGCCCCAGCCTACGCCGTCATGCTCAAGAAGTTGTGCGGCTGGACCTTGAAGGTGAACAAAATCACCGTGACCATCTCTGAACTTCTGCTCCATGGAGGTGGGGTCACCTTATGGACAAAAAAATGGTTGTCACAACATGTCACAGCTCATCACAACTCGTTGTTGTTGTTGTTGTTGTTGTGGTTGTTGTTGTTGTTGATGATGATGATGATGATGATGTTGTTGTTGTTGATGTTGTTGTTGTGGTTGTGGTTGTGGTTGTGGTTGTGGTTGTGGTTGTGGTTGTGGTTGTGGTTGTGGTTGTGGTTGTGGTTGTGGTTGTGGTTGTGGTTGTGGTGTGTTGTGGTGTTGTTGTTCGTGTTGTTGTTCGTGTTGTTGTTCGTGTTGTTGTTCGTGTTGTTGTTCGTGTTGTTGTTCGTGTTGTTGTTCGTGTTGTTGTTCGTGTTGTTGTTCGTGTTGTTGTTCGTGTTGTTGTTCGTGTTGTTGTTCGTGTTGTTGTTCGTGTTGTTGTTCGTGTTGTTGTTCGTGTTGTTGTTCGTGTTGTTGTTCGTGTTGTTGTTCGTGTTGTTGTTCGTGTTGTTGTTCGTGTTGTTGTTCGTGTTGTTGTTCGTGTTGTTGTTCGTGTTGTTGTTCGTGTTGTTGTTCGTGTTGTTGTTCGTGTTGTTGTTGGTGGTGGTGGTGGTGGTGTTGTTGTTCGTGTTGTTGTTCGTGTTGCTGTTCGTGTTGTTGTTCGTGTTGTTGTTGTTGTTGTTGTTGTTGTTGTTGGTGGTGTTGTTGTTGTTGTTTTACGGTCTCTGACCAATGGCGTTTCTTAACAAGGACTGCAAACGTCCTTGGACCCTTGGCCTGCATCCACCACGTGGATGCTGGAGTAATCCACGTTCCTTGGTCCATCGGAGTTCATCGATGGCCGGTCATGTGATGTCATGTCTCCCGCATGCCCGGCTGTTGTCAAATCTGGGCCGTTTGGAGGACGCATGTAAACGAATAGATGCAGCAGAAGCATACGCTAGTCGCTCTTCTTGAAGCAACCCATTCCATGGTCTGAGTTTCAGCTTGGGACAGCACTGCGCAGCAGTGCACAACACTGCTTGTTCTGAAAAGGAGATGTTGCTTTGATCGGGATGGCGACCAGCTCGCGTTGGAAAACTAGCCCCTTTTCATGTTTCCCCGAAGCAGCTCATGGTGTGTTCAGTGGGTGGTCGACCACAAGTAGCAAGAAATTACGAGATGCACGAGCTGCACCACAAGCCACATCGCGCCCTAAGATGCTATGTCTGAAGGGAAAGAGAAAGTGAGACAAAAACCGATTGAGTTTTAAGCTTCGGTGAATTCTTGTATTCGAAGTTTGAGGCGCTTCCCAGATACTAGGGCTTGACGGGTAAGGGTTTAAGGTTCAGGGTTCAGGTTTCAAGGCTCAAGTGGCGTTTACAGGGCTATGAACTTGGCCAGCTTTCGGGAAGATGGTCAAACAAGTCCCCGAGGTTCAGAATGCAGCATGGCATGCTCAAGAACTTGCCACCTAGCAAACAGCAAAACTCCAATATCGCGCAGGCCACAGGCATTCTTACCCCTATCGTTACGAGTCGTGCGTACCCTCGGCAAAGCCTTTCTGACAGTGCAACACGAGAACGGGAGAAGAAGAACCTGTTCAGACCAGCCTGATAGGTGAATCTGTTTCAACGGCTTTCGTGCCCTCATGTGCCCTCTCCACCAGCCTTATTCCGTTCTTACAGTAGGTCTTCAAGTCTTCCACCCCGAGCACAGGTACGTCGACAGCTACAGCAATGAAATGTGTACACCATCTGACTTGACGGAACCGAAAACCTTCCTCTCATTTCCTGTCGTTTGCCCACCGAGCACCTCACTAGAGGAGACACATCTTGAGGCAAGCTGCTTCAAGTGGCAAGCGTATTTGATCAAAGCCAGAGGCTGAAAGAGGTGGTCGACCAATACCTGTGGCCATACCCGGGCCATGCTCAGTCACAACTAGAAGCGCTAATCAACTGCAAGTACTGCAATAACTTTCTGTAGGGTGGATCATCGAAATGTTGTGTTGCTTAACTCAAACAATACGATGCTTCACTCAACCAATACGATGGAAGCAACAGTCTCTGAAGTACAACCTTACCTTACACAACAGGTTTGTGGCTCTTTGACATGCTGGGGTCCAGGCTTGCTTGTTCTCCAGCTCGCGCCACTCGAAGCCCCTCTCAGAGCCACGCCGGCAGAGAAAGAAACCATCACGTGCCTTGCAACAAGTGCTTTCCAACTTTAGACATGTACTATACACGTTCAGTCACGTCTGTGTGCGAACAAGGCACATTGATCTGTGCGAAATGGACAATATCTGGTTGCTGCACACCCTTCTCCAAGTCGCTAAAGCTGGCTGCAACAGCCTCGATCACTGACAGTCAGATGGCAATGTGCACTTCTTGCACCTTTTGCACGCTGTTCTGATTGCTCTGTAGCGCCTCAATCTTTGAGTCTTTGCGCCCAAGCCTGTTGTTGTACTTATTGTCGTCAGACCTGCTTATCACAGAATCACTACACGAAAACAATCGACTCTGGCTGCAGTGCAGGCAACGAGCTGTGATAGGTGGGCGGTGCCATTCCTCACCTGTGCATCGGACAAGAATTATCGAGCGAAAACAATGTGAGTTTCCCGAGAAGTGCTCGGAGCGCTCCCTGTGTGAGCGGCCCTCGGCCTGCTCCACAGCTGGGTTGCTGGGAGTGCTTGGCGTGTAGTGGGGCTCCAAACCCTGCGACTGCAGCAGGCCGCTGTTGATGGTGTAAAGGAGGGGCGAGTAAAATGCAGAATGCCGCAGCGCAGTAATCCGGATCGGAGTCAAGGCCATGGGTTCACGTCGCAGAGTCAGAGTGACTGAAACAAGTTGCAAGCTATTAAGATACTTTCTGGAAGTTTCGTGGGCGGTACCTACATCCCTGTGACATGTGATTGCCATGCATGCAGCTCTTGCCAGATCGGAAGCCACTGCTGCTTGTACATTGTCAAGAAGCAGCACAATGCATAGACTGATAGGTCATGGTCATAATATGTCATAATATGAGGTCATTGCCAACTTGGGACCCGCGCTGCAGTTGGCGAAGTCCGGTTTCATTGTAAGCGACGAAAACAGTGGCATCGCCTGCCACCTGCACAGGGAACTTTAAATGACTCGACGTATTCCGACTCTCCTCCAAGTGATTCAGTATGTTTCGTTGACTCACTCTGCCTGCCTTCAAGTCTGCTCTGACGTGGAAGTGCACCGGACTTAAGCTGGCGTGCTGCGTGATGTTTAGAACATGGCCTGCGCCAAGATCCATGCACAGAACTCGGCATAAACTCACACAACATTCGCCTAGAAGTTTCAGGGTCGCAGTGCCCTGCGGGAGCAGCAAGGCCATTTCCGCAGCCATCGACACCCAAGGCGTAAATTCACCTGTGCGAAGGACATGTAACAATCATGTTGACAACACACGCATGGTCTTCCAACGCGACGCTGCTGGGATGCACCGCTTCCTCAAAACATTCGTGTGCTCTTTCCGGCATCCTATGACGAATGACATCGGACCATTTGTGCTCAGTCTCCGGTGCAAGGCGCAGTTCGTTACAGCATGCTTGGCTCACTGTTCATTCAGCAAGCCCGGTCACAGCCAGCTAGTGGCAATTCAGGAGGTATGAACAGCATCAAGGACAGCAGAAACAACAAACGTTTTGCGGGTGGGGCCAGCTGTATTAATGACACGGGTTTTTCTCAGGACGTTGCTCGTCCAAAACATCTGCATTCTGCAGGGCCGATCGCAAAGGATGTGATCAACATGACAGATCACACCCGGTGAAATACAGATTGCTCGTGAGATCTCGCGAGTCCCGATGCCACAGGGTCTTTGGGGTCAATTTTCGAAGCATCAGGCTGGAGCTGCCGGCGCTTGTGCCGCTTGCGCTTGGGCCTGCGCCTTCTGTGCCACCTGCGAGATGCGGAGGAATGAAAAGTTTCAACAGCCGATGCAGTTTCAAACGCCGATTCTGCAACTGGCAGCGCAGCTTGCCAGGTCAGAGCTTCAACTTTCGTCTGCAGCTCAGCCACGGGCAGGAAGAGCTTAAACTCAGGAGGGAGCTCTTCCTCGCTGTATAGGCGGTCGCTGAAGTAGATGCGGCGAATGCCTTGCACAGTGGCAGCGCTGCAAATCAAATCTGAACCTAGGAGCCCTTGAGCTTTTCAGCGGAGACACGGCAGTTTGCATGCAGCTGGACGCGGAGGGTCTCGATGTAGTTGGTACCATAGGCACGTCGTGTGAAGTCAGACAGGTTGAACTGGATCCTCAGACTTGTGGTCATGGATTCTGCGCGCCCTCAAACACCAAATGATCGAACGCTGATGCGGGCAAGCAGCTGGTTCCAACCTGAGTTCAAGCTACATCATGTCAACTGTATGCAGCAAGGACTCTCAAGACTCTACACATGCGGGTGTAGGAAATGCACCTCTGTGCAACTCTTTGGGCCCTTTAGACTGTTTAAGGTCCTTCTCAGTCAAAGCAACCTTCGTCCAGCCTCATGGGCATCGTGCAAATGAAAGGCTTCACCCTCACAGGGATGCCACAAGTGCCACATGCTTTCCAGTGCCCTGCAAGGCTTTTTCGCAACTGTCACATCTGAAACTGACCTGGTGGTGCTCTGGTAGTTGGAGGCGCGGAAGCGTCGCCGCACCTCCTTGTCATCCAACACCGTCACCTCAACGCAAGTGCCACATAACTTGTGAAGCACCTTCACTCCTGGTCTGATGCGCTTCGCTTGGGGTCCGGCCTCAAAGGTAAAATACTTCTTCAGGTTCTTGATGATCATGACCTGAAGTCTCTAAAGAGAGGAACCGCAAGCCATAAGATTTTGCAGTTTTATGCCACTTGTGCTTATTTCACAATCGTGTGAACACACTGCGACGTTGCACAACGGAATTGCGAATGGCAACTGAATATGCCCAGGACTTCAACCATTGCGAGTTTTGTCTTGGCCTGGGTTTCGGGTTTTGTGGTTGCAAACTGAAGTGGCCGCCTCCAGATCAGAGCAAGGTTGTTCAGCAACACACAGAAGTGAAGTTGGGCCTTTGCAAAGCTAATCGGCTAAACTAACAGAGCAAGCCTGTAACATGTCACGTCTTTTGAACTCAAGGCCACGAGACATCCCGGGAACCATACAGAGACTGAGAGAATGTGAGCGTTCCACTCATGACGTTCCCCTGCCATCCTACACTTAACCTGAACCATGGCTCTGCACAACCTAGCCATCAAACCTCGAACCCACTGTTGCTCCAAGACACCAAGAAAGGCAGCTTGATGCCCAACGTCTTCGAAGGATCTGCTGGACATGTGATGTAAGTAGTACTGACGTTGGTGCCCATGATTTCCTGCATGCAGCTTTGAGCACACTGGTCTTCACAGTCTTCACACCATCTCTGCGCTCTGCCCCCAATGCCCAAGGATTCGTCAACAAATGCAGCCGCTGATCCAACACGCTTGACTGGATGTCGGAGTCGGTGAGACGCTTGATGTGGCCATTGCGGACCTGGCATCTAAGCCGCAAGTTTTGCACAAAGCAACATCTGATTTGGGACTCAGCTTGAAGAAAGGTTCCGGAATGATTCGGGATGATTTCTGATAAGCAAGCTGAAGCCAATCTACCTCACAAAACCTACCCGCTTCTTAAACACCGTTCCGCCTCAGGTGATACATCCCAAACATCTGAAGCTAATGACTGTGTGCAGGCTGTGCAGGTCCGCCCCATGAGCTGTTCAAGCTTCTGGATCAGTTGATACGGTGCTGTCAGCACAAGTCGCAATCTGCAAAATGTTGCGCTGTAATTTGGTAGGAAAACCGCTATTTTCTCGGTATTCTAATCAGAAACCCTTTTTTCACCATATGTTCATAAGAAAACCACTATTTTTCTCTCTTTGTCAAGGCAAGCCGTAATTTTCTCTGGGCTTTTCTAGTCTGAAACTTGCAGGCCCTGACTTGATGCATCACCAACTTGTCGGGCGCAATCCGACGTTGTCACTGTGCCTGCCCTGCATGTCCGGCCGCACCTTCTTGTCCCAAATTTGAAGCGGTTTGCTGCCGATGGAGTAGAGGATTGACAGGAAGCCCGACTGGTATGTGTTCTTGAACCTTAGCTACAAGAGTTGCAGAACCACTTGCAACAAATCAAGAATCGCTTGATAAACTCTGGTTCGCGAATCCAGGCAACATGGTGGAGAGTCGGGCCAAGGCAATGTCACCCTTTCCGTCAACCCGTGTTCGAGGACTCTTGAGCCGCTGTCACAAAGCAGGGGCCGCTGAACATGCACACTGCAGAACACTGCAGAACACTGCAATGACATCGCGCAACATTGCAGAACTGAGCACTCAAGGGCTCTCGTGTCCAGCCTTCCAGTCGCGCTGCTGACGGCGCAGTAAAGCCAAAGTGGAGATCCTGGAGTGGCAAACATAAGGTGGCAGTTTGTGGAAGAAAGCCGAAAGGTCAACCCTGTTTGCGTCAAGCGCTGCCTCAACGAAGCTTACATCCACCTTGGCACCTCAAACAGCGTCTGACGGCTCCAGGCCATGAGAAACAATGCCAAACATGCAATTGCAACGCAGGAGGATGCAGGAACGGAAAGCTTGGGAAATTCCACTTTCAGTTCGCAAATAAGGTGGGAGCTCTTTGTCGTCCAGGCAAGAAAAGCATCCTCGATCCAGGGGAGAGCCACCTCAGAGAAGTCGTGAGATGACGACGCTCCCACACACTCCAACACATATCCGGCCACTTTTCGATTCAAGTGTGTGTTGCAAACGTCTGGAGGGACTGCTCAAGAGTATGAAGCTTCTGCCGAACGATAACGTTCGCACCTTGAGTTCGGCTCCAGAATGTAATGCAAGAGCTCCAAGCCCAAGATCTGATCGCAAGAACTGCAGCACCTTTGATCGCAAAACGTTGAAAAGACCATCAAGCAAATTCAAGACAAGGCCTTCAAGCTTTTCAATGTCGCACAAAAGAAGTGCCACGCCAATGCGCCGTGAGGAAGCGATTTAGTCACATCGCCTTGCCCTGGCTGAGACTGCCAGCGATCCGCGCCTTGTTGAATTCGACGTTATTGTCCACGTGTCCAACCTGTGCTCCATGCCACACATGCCACACCACTGTTGAATACTCGAAAGGTTCACGAGCCCCGCACTTCTCGGAGAAAAGATCGAAACACGTGGCCCATGGGCCCCTGTATGGAGCGCAACTGGACACGCTTTTTGCTGCCGTCTCAAGAACCTGCCAGAAAATGCTTCTCAAATCAACAGCACCATCAGCAGCTGGGGGGCGGAGTGCCTGAGATGCTGAATAAATTGAATAACGAATTCGCACTGAAAAGTTCAAACAAGGACTCTGAAGGTCTTCTAAGATTCTAAGGTCAGCGCTGCTGCTGGTTTCAGATATGGCTGAACCTTCTCCTTAAGGCTGTGAGCAACCTTATCAGGGTGGGGTTGAACTCAAATTCAAAACCAAACGGCCCGCCTCTGAAGAGAGCTTGGCGAGCCCAGCAGAGACCTGCGCATCGCGGTTACCATCATCGTGAACGTACACGACTGCCAAGCACACGAAAAATCAGCCGCAACCTGGCTGCACACCACTTTTGAGGCAAACTCATTCACAAGAGCCTGGATCCAGTCGAGAACTGCTGAAAAAAGCCCGCCCGAAAATTTCAAGTACAAGGCAAGGACACGTATCCCTCGCTTCGCCAATTTCAAAGCGTCGCATGCTGCAGACCTTGCATGCAACTTTTGTTCAAATGCCAAAGCAAACATGAACTGATAAGAAGCCGACTCTCCGTGGACCTCCAACTGAGTGACATCCGGTGTGAGCCTGGATGTTTACAATCACTGCTGGTCATAGTCAGACATCTCTGCTGACATTGCGTAAGCCCTTCAGTCCCAAGCTCGCAAACTGCGGTGGCTTGCCCTGGAAACCCAGACACCGAGGGAACCTTCGCGACAATTGTTTGCCCGCCCTGCCCCCCCCCCCCCCCGCGCTGTCACTGCCTAAGGCTCAAACCACAAACGCATCAGCAAGTGCATAAGCAGGAAAATGCATGAGCAAACAGGCATAAGCAGAAGTATGCACAAGCAATAACGACATGCGCAAGAAGAAACTCTGCATAAGCAAAGTCAATAAGCAGTCGTACTTTCGAGCAAGTTCGCATAGGCATACACACCCTGCTCTTCTCCCAACACCCGACTCTCAGACCAAGTCTCTAAGAAGTTGCTGGGGTTGCACGCTTCAGGCCTTTAGGGTGTTGCTGGGCTCGGAGCCCGTGTGGCTGAAGCAGCAAGAGCTGCTGGCACCGGGGCCCTGCACCAGACCTTGAGCCACGACCCCGCCTTGGAGTTGCATTAGCGGTTTCGGGCCTTACTGGGGTCTTGGCTCGGGGTCTGGTGCTTTGGCAGGGCCCCTCCGACTAGGAGCTGCCAGCACTTCAGCCTCCTGAGCTCCCAGCCCACCAACACCCCTAACTGAAGGTCTGAAGTGTGCAACCCCAGAAACTTGTGAGACTTGGCCTGAGAGTTGGGAGTCGGGAGGGTTTGATGGATGAAGGGCTCCATGGAGTTGTCATAGTCCATAGGGTCGTGCATCCTGTGCCACATCATGCGAAAGGCGAAAGTGAACGGCCTGAGCCAATGTCGCTGTGTTCAAGATGTTTGTGACTTTTGTCGCGTTTACGCCAACATAGCTTCTTCCTGCAAATGCCAGATTTGTTTTGTGACTTCCTGCTTATGTGAATTTGCGTATGCATTCTCGCTTGCAGCTTTCTTGCTTATGCGGCTTTGCATATGCATGCGGTATGCATCTTTCTGCCTATGCATTTTGGCTCATGCATGTTCCTGCTTGTGCAATTTTGCTTTGCAACAGGCAACATCACGGTTTTCGTGACTTTTCGTCTTAGGCGAAAGAGGAATCACAACGAATCGCAACGCCCCCACCAATTGCTTCAAACCTGCACCCTGGCCTGAATGGTGAGCTTCACGACTGATGCCGATAGCGCAACAGCCACGGTACATGAGTGCAAACTTCGAACCTGAAGAACAACATGGAACAGCATGTCAAATTTTGTCATTTATTGTTTCATTGTGGCAGGCATGTTCACATGTTCTTACATGCATCGGGTGCCTCGAGTAAGGTATCTACAACACAATGGGTCCCGACATCCTCTCGCGCCGGATCAGCACGGTACACGATTGCCAAGACCATGCGCTCACCAAAAAGCCCTGCTCGGTCCGCTTGCAGCCCGATCTTGAGGTGATCGGCATCTGCCACGGTCTGTGTCAGCAGAAGCTCCTCAATGTTGAGTCCTGCCAATCCACGTATGTGGAAAAGGACACTCTGTGCCGTGTGCTCTGCCTCGACAGCTTCCACCAGTCACGTTGACTGCGAAGCCAAGCCATGAAGGCGCCTTCCAGTGCCAACATGTCGGAAACAGTGCGACAGTGCGACAGCGCGACCATCTCCGATGCACCCACCTGCACCACCGAAAAGGGTGGCACAAAGACCTGACTCAGTGGGCTGAGGTTGGTCGGAATCTCTTCCCCGCGTGGTTCGTAAGACTTGGGGAATGTGTGGCAACATCTCCAGAGTTGGTGCTACCTTGAGAAAGGCCGCCTGGCGACCGCTTGTTCTCCAAGTTCCCGGCGAAAGAACCAACATGATCAACTTTCTATTCAGATTGGAAGAACTTCATGAGGCTAGTCTGCACTGTCATAAGACTATTGATTATTGTGTTTTTCTCGAATGCTTGCGGGGCGAGTTGCACTGCACAAAGGCAATGGCAGAATCCAGGTTGAAAACACCTCAAGAAAGAGTTTTCTGGGGTTACCCGACCCTGTGATCTCCAGAAAACTTCAATGACACATGGTTCAAAGCCAAAGAATCAAACTCCAATTCTGGAGAAAGTCATGAAATTGAAATCGCACAAGTGCTACCGAAAGTACACCGCCAAAGCCCAAAAATGTTGTGAAGAGTATTCATAGAGCGCCTATTCATTGGGAAATGCAGCCATTCCTGAGACGTGCGGGAATCCCAAACCCGCCCATACCCTCAGCTCGACTCCCCCGCCCACTCACCCTCACCTCGCCATACACCCACGGCGGCACACCTCCATCCAACACCAATGGCATGGAGTCTACAGCTTTCTTTGACTGGGCCATGTTGCTTCGCCATATTTCGCTATACTCGAACACGGTGATGGTCTTTTACCAGGTAGACGGAAGATGACGGAAGGTTGGAGTCGGGGGGCGGCCGGCGGGGGGGGGGAGGGGGGGCGCCCTGGACGACTGGAAGGTCGGAGGCCTGGCTTTCCTAACCGTCCTAACCACAACAAAACATCCTGTAGGCATCCGCAACCAAAGTTCGCTGCTCTCTGTCCGTAAAGTACAAGAGGGTCGGCCACTCTCTTTGTTCGGGCTTCGCTTCTCTTAGGTTAGGCAACAGAAGAAGAGGTGCCCCCAATGATACGGACTGGTGTTTCGACTGATTTCGCTCAAAAAAAGAAAGATCCAATATAAAAACTACCACATGCTTCAGGTCTTTCGCCTCTTTGGAGAGGGTGGGGGTAGGTCCGCGGACCCTTAGTTTGCAGAGGACGTTGAGGCTGTGCCGAGGGGGGGAGGAGGGGGCATGCGCCCAACACAAAACGAAGCCCGAAAGGGAAAGAGACCCTGCCCGGCAAGCAGCAGAAAGCTTTCGCCAAATTCGGCCGGGTTGCAGCTGTGGGCGTCAGCGGTGTTCTTAAGGATCCCCCTCTCCTTCACAACCAAATTTCCTGTGGAGCCCGATGGGCTCCACTGCATAGACCCAACTTCTATTTATTCGACCGGACCTTCCGGCCCAGGATTCCCCGTGAACGACTTCATGGACCACCCCTGCGTCGCCTCAAAAGATTATTTTAACCTCCTGTAAGCCCCATCCACATTTTGTTGGACACCCTGTGACCATGCACCCCCTATGGACCTCCCATGGACCCTGCGTGTCGCGGGTGTATGGACCCCCTGTGCAAAGGCTTCGGCTCCGCACCCTGGCAGGCATCCACATGCTCTGTGGCCATTGACAGGGCGCACCAACCATGGACCCGTAAGGGATGCAGTGCCCACCGTGAGATGGCACGCGCTTAAGCCCTTCCATGAAAAGAAGCTGCACGCATCATGTTTTAACTTGACGCAATTTAGGCTCTGTTCCCGGATGTGGCGAATGGTCGACTTTGCCATTTGGCTAGGCTATTTTGCCTGGCGGCCTCCTCACCAGCCTCTCCCACAAAGCCCCCCCTACCCCCGAACATAGACTTTCACAACTACCAGCTCCCCCCCCCACCCCGCCCCCCCCACGCTCTCCCTGCTTGACTCCTACAAATGTAAACCCGGATAGAAGCGATTCCTTAGGTGGATGCGTCGCTGAGAACAAATCAAGAGATTTAAAAGCCTGGAGGCACAAGTCTGTCGAGCCTATAGCTCTCTACAGCAGTAGCTGAAACGGAGAAACGAAAGACTGCGCAGGAAGCGAACACGCAAACAAAGAATGCATCAAGGCCCGCTTGTCGACTGGATTGTCCAGCCCCTGTGAGAGATAAGGCTACCCGAACTGATGCCTCCACGAGGCTTGGCACACAGAAAATCACGGAAAGCTGGCTGGGACAACTGAGCTTGGCTCTTCCAGGCTTTCCAGCCAGCCTCGCAACGGTACAGCCTGTGCAGGTCGCACAGAGACCATTTCGGAAAGCAATCCACGCATGCTCCCGAAAAAAGCATCACGACCAGTCGTGACTCCACTTCCAGCCGTCAATTGGCCAGTCTCAGAGGCTGTCGGGATGAAGCGTCAGAGTCGCCCTACCTGGCCCTGCCCTCCTCCATCCTCCATCATCCTCCATCATCCTCCATCATCCTCCATCATCCTCCTCCATCATCCTCCATCATCCTCCATCATCCTCCATCATCCTCCATCATCCTCCATCATCCTCCATCATCCTCCATCATCCTCCATCATCCTCCATCATCCTTAAGGACCGGTTTTGAGGATGTTACGCGCGCGGGTTCCAGGTTCGGGGCCTTGGTCTCCAAGACCAGCTTTCTTAGGTTGTTTGGATGTTTTCGGGCCTTCAGGGAGGCTCAGGGCGAGACTTTATATAGTGTGGCTTCAGGTACCTTCAGGTGATGTCTTCTCGGCGTATTCTAGTCTTTTTAGGAGTGAAGTGCTGGTTGGGTAGTCTTACAATGCAGTATGTTCCATGTTCGGACACCTGCTTTGGAATTCGCATGAATTCGCCTTTCAGATTCCACCTGGTCCGTCAGACTTTCTTGTTGGCAGAGAACAGGCGGATCCGCGACGCGTTGACAACTCCGTGGCTAGTGGCGATCTTTCTCCCATGAGCAAGAACAGACAAGAACGGGCCGCAGTCGACAAAAAATCGGCTTCCGGTTTCCGGAGCCCCTCACTCAAACCCCCCATTTGTTTCCACTTGGTGGTGCCTTCCCTGTCTCTGCATCCAGCCAAGATTCTAAGGCAGTTTTTCGACGTCCCAGGTCACTCCTGGCTGCCATCTCAGCCCTGACTGCTCTGGACTCCTCATCGTCCGGATCCGAGGCTTCTAGGCAAAATGTTCGCCACAACTCGGCTTTCTTGGGATCACGAATGAAAGCCGTGATCTGGAGAACCCGCTTTTCTTGTTCCGCCTGCTGCTCTTTCTCACTCTTGACCAAACCATAGAGGTTCGAGTCCATGAAGCCGCCCAGTTCCAGTTCATCGTCCTCGAAGTCAGTCGACACTTTCGGAAGTCTCGCTTCACACGCGAATGCTGACAAGCAATCTGCTGGATGATGCACCGGATTCAGAACAAAGTTTTCCAGCACATCTTCTGGCATGTCCGAAGTGGATGCGTAGCCTGTCTGCTTGCAATACTCCTTCCACGACCGGTCTGTTGCCGTTACTTTTCGAAGCCGTTTTAAGAGCTTCAAGTGGCTGTAGCTGCCAGTCTTCACCCCGGTCTTGTTGACGGAGGAACCAGGATCCTGATTGGCAAAGAAATCGAAGAAGCATTGCTCACAAGCCAGGCAAGCCAGCACCAAGCAGAGCCACCAGCGCGGCCTACGTGAAGCCATGCTGCGCGGGAGTGTTCGCTTTGTCTTAGTTCGCTTGCATTCTTGCCATGTCGTCTGTCTTGTAGAGCAAGGCTGATTGTACTTTGTCATGCTTCTCACATTCCCACACTTGGGCAGCCTGCTCTCACGCCACTGGAAAGCTCAGCGCCACGGGCAACCGACTGTGCCAGCGAACAGAAACTGCATTACACTTTACTTTGAGTCAATTGCGGTAAGTGTTGCTACACATCGATCGCCTCGGAAGGCCCGAACGCATCTAGGACTATGGCAAGGGCACCTCAGCATGAACATGCCAGATGGCAAAAATCCAAGAATCCAAGAATCCAAGAGGCAATGCAAAACCATGGTTCCTTCACGATACGTTGCCTCCGATTGCCTCCCCTGCTGGCAGAATGGAAGTCGCGCTTCCCAGTTCAGAGCTTGCAAAGACTAGCAGGCTCCCACAGCTTGTAAACAATGCACATGCCGAAACCCTAGTGCCCTATGTGCAATGCTGCAGCGCCGGGTCTACTTGATGTGGACATCACTCTACAGTCAGATAAGGCAAACATTGAGGATCTCAGGCCAGAGCAAACTGCGGCCACCCGTGGATGTTCCATGCACACGCTGTGCCTTTTCTGAGCAGAAGTTCTTTCGTACCTTTTGCAAGAGTTTTCAGTGCACGGGCTTGTTTGCTTGTGTGTGTGTGTGTGTGTTCGTGCTTACATGGTGTGCAAGGGTATCTTGGGTACGTCTTCTCCTACCTCCATCAAAATCTAGTGTACCAGCTCTGCCTAACTTCACGATGATGTTGGTCTTGCTGTATTTAGCGATGCTTGAAATGACATGGTTCAAGCACGTTTGTGAGTCCACAGCAATACTACATCTGTGATTTTGCAAGTGCCGATGCAAAATCTGCCTCAGTTCTTTGATTTCGTTTCCGATCATCATCACAGACACGAGCAGCACAACTGAGCTGCGAGTCTCCGCAGACAGCACATGCCCATGCGAAAGTCCTATCAAATCCTTGCTTGGATACTGTACAGTATGCCGACCTTCACGGTCAAGCAGCTGCTGAATTGCATGCAAGGCTCGGTCGAGCCGTTAAACTTGATCTTTACGTTACAATTTCGTCAGAAGTTGGTGCCAGCCACTCTTCTCTTGGACAAAGCCTGAACTCGACAGATTGCTGATGATTGCTGTGCGGAGGTTGTGTGCCGAGGCGAAGAACAGATCGTGAGGCCAGCACGTTTCAACTACCAAGTTTGCACACAAGACGTCCGCGCATTGCGAGCTGCTGCCCTGCCCAAGTGGCCACTCACTTACCAAGAAGGCTGCATGGCCAACATGTCTGTCACTGGCTGCAGTCGAGGATAGTCGGGGCCTTCACCCCGGGTTGGAGGCTCCAGCCGCCTACATTTGGCCAATGACCAATACATCTAACCCTGCATCTAACCCATCCACGATAACATGATGGCAGAGAGGGCTGCCGTCATCTGTGAGGATGTCAAAGGGCAGCGTCCAGCCATCAACCTCAACTGGTAATCTTGTAATCCGAAGTGTACATATCAAGACATGGACATGTGCCGCCAACAGCTCTAAGGACTCTGAGGCTCTAAGGCACACGCCGCGCTGCCATCCCACCAGTCTTGGTATGTAGACCTCAAGAATGCTCATGCTGCTGCAGGCCACGGCCCAAAGCGGCAACCGAAGCAGTGGGCACTTGCCACTGCCCTGGCGAAGCTAAGCAGTGCACGACCTTGCTGGAGGGCAAGAGGTGCTTACAAGTAACGCAGACACATGCGACCAACAGTGCCCCGAAGCGGATGGTGCTCTCGATGTGAAAACTCGTGAGATCTTGGCGTCCGGCACTCCTTGGCCAGTTTTTGTGCAATCGTCCGGGCGGGTTGCGTGGAAAGTGCAGCCGAAGGAGGCTTCAAACCTGAAACACCAGGCATGAGTATCCGCACGACACGCGTAGCGCATGCTGCAGCTTCTCAACAAACAGGCATGTACGCTCCTCTGCAATCCGGATGCTCTACTACTGTTGTTACTCGCTTTGGGAGGGAGCTGTTTCTCACTCTGGAGCATAAGCCCCAAAGATCTGACGCGTCCATCATCTTCAAGAGAGCAAAATCGATGGCCAGAGGCGCGGGAGACGTTCGAAAACATAAAGACGCCGAGCAGAACCATCAGCCGAAAAGAACAGAGCATGTAAACCCTAGTAAACTTCGGTAACCCCTCACAGCCTGACGGTGCTCACTGTAGCTCCAGGCTGGCCAGAAGAGTGCTCCGCTTTCAGACCCACTTCAGGCCATGTGTGTTGTGAAAGGTCGTGCAAAGAGCTTGGAAGGAGCCCGCGCCACTTGCATTCGGAATGGGCCTCCCGTTTCGGCTCACACGGCTTCAGAAGGCTTCCACCTGTTGCACTAGCCGGGAGCGCCAGGATTGCGATGGTATTGCCGTTTGTTTGCCAAGCTTGATGGTCTGGTCGGTTGGTCTGGTCGGTTTTCTCGGTCGGACCTCTCGCGACAATGACATCGAGTATAGGGACGAAGCGACGCGCTCCCACAAACTTTGGCGAAGTATTCAGCTAGTTTCAGAATGAGGATCTTCTGTTGGCCTGGCACTTCCGGCCTCTTGCTGCTTTCGTGCATGGTCTCCTTTCGCCCTTGCTGAAGGCTTGCTGCCTTCGATCTGCTTGGTGCCGAATGGAGCTTTGTCTCGAGACAGTCGAGACAGTCTGTCTGTTCAGTGGCAACGGCACGGCAACATAGAAGCTCTTGCCGCCTTATCCTGTAGCACATGCTGCATGCCCCTACATTCGAAACAACTGTGAATGCCACTCCTGCGCAGCACTTCCGAAACAAGAACGAACAAAACAAGGGCCAGACTTCGTGTCTACAGGAGGGCTGCAGCCTCAAGAGTCCAGCCCACCACACCATACCACGACGTAGAACCAGCTAGAATCATACTAGATTCATTAGAATCTGTGAATCAGCTCGGACCCACGGCAAGATACGGAAAGAACCTTTCTTGGCAGGCGGCCTTGTGGTGGGCAGGGCGGCACGCTTTGAACCTTACCACGACTGCTGGGCTGCTGCCTCTTACGGAACTGCTTCAGCCACAAGTCGTTGGGTTTTGCTCTGGCTTCCATGACAAAGCCGCTCCGCTTTGACGAGATCGGCTTTTTCTCAGCGCGTCTCACACAGAAATCTCAACATCCTTACAATCTACTGGCAGATTCCAGATGCACTGCACACGAGTCGGTTCTGCCGCCATGAAAAGGAACAGGCATACCGACCTGACTGTACATACACCCACCTGCGACTGCCAAAGAAAATGTACTCCGTTGATGCGCCATGATGCCGTGGTAACCGACAATACCAGCAAGGCCTGCAGCTCACAGCAGCAAGACGCACATTGATTGGCTTTGTGGAAAGTGGCATTTTCTGACCTCGAGTCGAAGCAAGGGTGTGCGTGTGTGCGTGTGTGTGTTTGTGTGCGCGCGTGTGCGCGCGCACGTGTGCGTTTTCAATGCTGTCGCTTCAAAAATCCAGTGAGGACGAACGCCCAGGCCTGGGATGTCAGGGACGTGTCGCCAGTAGGTAAGCAGGGGAGGTCCTTGGCCGAGAACTGAAACTGTAACAAAACTTACACTGCCAGCATTCTCAGGCCAACACGTGATCTGCCTCTTCAATGGGGACGGGAGCCGCGAAGCCATGGCTTCAAGTTGGCCCTACAGGTGCGCCTGATTTGGCTTGGCGGCATGTGTTGGGGAGGGGGCTTGGCGTAGCACTGTAGCAGCGGAGAACACCGGCGTTCGTGGGCATGCGAGCGTGCGAGTTCGTGCGTGCGCTTGCCTGTGATTGCGGGTGCAAGTGTGAGTGATTGTGAGTGCGAGTGCAAGTACAAGTATGTGTGAAATATATATATATATATATATATATATATATATATATATATATATATATATCTCTCTTATATGGTCACCCCCCCCCTCGACAGACCCCGGAATGGAAAATCCGACTGTCCAAAGCGGGGGGGGGGGGGGGAGGCAAACCCAAATTCCCTCGAGTTTCCAAAATCCAAAATCCAAAAAAATTTCGGATTTTGGAAACTCGAGGAATTTGTTCCTCGGTTTCCAAAATCAAAAATCCAAAAATCCCAACCCAGTTTCGGATTTTTGGAAAACTCGAGGAATTTGCTCAAAATCCAAAAAAAACCCAAATTCTCGAGTTTCCAAAATCCAAAAATCCAAAAATCCAACCCCAGTTTCGGATTTTTGGAAAACTCGAGGAATTTGCTCAAAATCCAAAAAAACCCAAAATTCCGAGTTTCCAAAAAATCCAAAAATCCAAAAATCCCCCCATTTTCGGATTTTTGGAAACTCGAGGAATTTGCTCAAAATCCAAAAAAAAACCCAAAATTCCTCGAGTTTTCCAAAATCCGAAACTGGGTTGGGTTTGGATTTTTGGAATTTTGGAAACTCGAGGAATTTTGGGTTTTTTGGATTTTTGAGCAAATTCCTCGAGTTTCCAAAAATCCGAAACTGGGGTTGGGATTTTGGATTTTGGAATTTTGGAAACTCGAGGAAATTTTGGGTTTTTTTTGGGATTTGAGCAAATCCTCGAGTTTCCAAAAATCCGAAACTGGGGTTGGGTTTTTGGATTTTGGAATTTTGGAAACTCGAGGAATTTTGGGGTTTTTTTGGATTTTGAGCAAATTCCTCGAGTTTCCAAAAATCCGAAACTGGGGTTGGGATTTTTGGATTTTTGGAATTTGGAAACTCGAGGAATTTTGGGTTTTTTGGATTTTGAGCAAATTCCTCGAGTTTCCAAAAATCCGAACTGGGGTGGGATTTTGGATTTTTGGAATTTTGGAAACTCGAGGAATTTTGGGTTTTTTGGATTTTGAGCAAATTCCTCGAGTTTCCAAAAATCCGAAACTTGGGTTGGGATTTTTTTTTTGGATTTTGGAAACTCAGGTTTTTGGTGAGATTCTTTAGGGGTTCTACATCA